CAGGAAGTACTGAGTGGCCTGTGGCCATTCACAAGATGAAAAAATGGTCAAAGGTCTCAGCCCACACACACTGTCACAAAATGTCTTGTGTGACATCTCGGAGAAGAAGAGACCCACACTTTGCTGCTGCTTTGCTTAATCGGAATGGATTTCTCTAAAAGCAAAACATTGGCCTGGAAAATGTGTGCGATAGAGCCAAAATGCCAATGAGGAGAGAGCGAGGGGGAGAGACGGAGGGAAGAGGGAAATGGTCTTATGAAGAGGAGACAATGCAAAGTTAGTGTGGGTGGTCTGCCAAGCCTGCTAGAGAAATATCACGCTCACATCACTCTCACACCCACTCCGGCTCGCAGGATTCCCCATGGCACAGGCATGTCGGCCAAACGTTGACAATCTCTGTCCAATCAAGGCCCTGTGGCCCTTAATTACTGAGCCGTAACCTCTAACAATAATTCATGCATTTCAAAGCTCATGAGATAATCGGGGCATTGAAACGCCTCTGGAGCTGAAGATGAAGTGAACGAGAGATGGCTAACAGAGGGAGACCTTTGCTGATTTGTGGGCTAGAACTCTTTCAGATTGAAGTGGCCATAGAAAATTGCTTGAACCTTAAGACGACAGTTGTTGCATGAAAAATGAGTGTTCTGTCACAAAAGCTTTGGTTATGCGTCACCATTATCTACATGAATACATTATAATCTATATATGTGAACTCGGGTCATAGACGTAGAGTGAATAGAAAACCTCATGCTTTTTACATGGCAAATGTAATATTTATTTTGAGGTTCTCAGACAGAAAATGTGGCTGTATTTTCACAGAAACCACTACATACAAATACAGTACATCCTAATGATTAATTATATCACTTAACTCCGCACCACAGGTAAGATTATGAATAAGGGTAATTATGGTAATTATAAACATGCAGGGACAAGGTGAACATGTATTTACGAGAGAATTTTTTCTGGTGTCACCTTGTTCCACTTATTGATTGGGCACTGTAAAGTGTTACATGACAAGATGAATCATTCCTTAGTAACATCTATTTTACCAGGACTTTTACTGTTGACTCTGTTTTTGGCTGCATGAGGCAGATCAAAATGGTGCCAGTAAATAGAAGTATGAATGCAGCACATGCACATATTGCTTGTTCGATTATAAGTGCACTTTAAAAAACGCATGAGCACTTTACTTGACTAACAGTGATGTATTTGTTGTTGTTGTCTGAAATGTATTCTTTGATAATGTTTAAAAGTGGATTAGAGAGCCTGGACAGATGCATTTCATTGCACTTTAATATATACTAAAATATGCTTGGACTAATTATCCTAATATAAAAGGTAAATGGGTTTTTATTGCTTTATTTATCTATAATTCAGAAATGTTAAGTGCTTTAAATGTTAGAAATGATAAATCGGCTTTATAAGGCAAGGAAAATCCAATCAACAAATTGCTGTGAAAGCCTCCTTTAATTCTTCCTTTTTTGACATTGGGTCTGTGATTCCTAATAATGGGCCTTGACCCGTTCTTTTTAAAAATTGCAGCTCAGATTATAGCACAACCAGTAACTGATATTTTTAATCTCTCCCTGTCCACTCACACACTGCCAGCTGTGTGGAAGCAAGCTCTGGTATCGCCCCTCTTGAAAGCTGGTGATCCCACGGAGTTGAATAACTATCGTCCTATCTCAAATCTTTCTGTGTTATCAAAGATTCTTGAGTCCCTTGTTTCTACTCAGCTAAAACTTTTTTTAAATTCACACAACATCCTTAACCCTATGCAATCTGGATTCAGATCAAAGCACAGTACTGTGACTGCCAGTCTGAAAGTCTTAGACGATATTAAGGCTGCTTTGGATAAGAAATCAGTTTGTGTTGCATTGTTTATTGACCTAGCCAAAGCATTTGACACTGTTGATCACCACATTATGTCTAATGTTATGTTGGTGTCTAGTTTCGGTCACAATGCCATTTGCTGGTTTCAGAGTTATCTAACCGACCGCACTCAATGCGTCAGGTTGGGTAGTACTGTCTCTGACCCTGTCACCTTGGAGAAGGGAGTTCCACAGGGCTCTATCTTGGGGCCCTTGCTCTTTTCATTATATGTAAACACTATTTGTAATCAGATGCAATTTTCTACCTATCATATGTATGCTGATGACACTATTGTATACTCATGTGCTCCTTCTCTGGATATGGCCGTTTCCAATTTAAAATCAGATTTTATCACGCTGCAGCATGCGCTTCTTGATTCTAAACTGCTATTGAACAGTAAGAAAACCAAAGCAATGCTTTTTGCTCCCAAGTCAGCGTCCTCTTCTTGCCTCTCCATTGACACCCTTGATGGCGTTTCTGTTGAATTTGTTGATACCTACAAATATCTGGGCTTTTGGTTGGACAGTAATCTGAACTTTAAACACCATATTGAAGTTTTAACAAAGAAATTGAAATTCACTCTTGGCTTCCTTTTCAGATTTAAATGTTGTTTTTCAATTTCATCCCGTAAAAGGTTGGTCTCTGGCTTATTCCTGTCCCAGCTGGACTACGGTGATACCATTTATAGATTTGCCTGTCCCACTGTTTTGGCCAAACTTGACCCACTTTACCATGCTGCACTGCGTTATATATCAAATGCACCCTATAGGACTCATCATTGCACATTGTATAGCCTAACTGGATGGTCCTCACTTACTATGCGTAGGATGCAGCACTGGTTTTTATTAATGTATAAAGCCATTTTAGGTAAGCTTCCACTCTACATATGTGTCAGATTTGCTCCAGTTTGTGACTCTTACAAACTCAGATCCAGTGCCTGGATACGGTTCCAGGTACCTACTGTGCGGACTGAGGCTGGAAAAAGGAGTCTTTCTTATTATGGTCCTTGGTCTTGGAATGACCTTCAATCACGCCTTAAACTGAGGGCACTTGTCTCTATAGCATGTTTTAAATTGAAGTTGTCTGAAGTCCTCACCACCAGCTGCTCTTGCAGTAACAAGTAGTGTACTTTTTTTATTGTCCTAATGTGCACAATGTAGTGACTGCTTTTTCGTCTTTTGTTTTCTTTATGTTCTCTGTATTTTATATGTTTGTGTTATGTGTTATGTGTAACGTTGCTGCCTTCTTGGCCAGGTCAGCATTGAAAATGAGATTTTATCTCAATGTTTTTTATCTGGTTAAATAAAGGTTAAATAAAAATAAATAAAAATAAAGGACACAATTTCCACTGATAGAAAAACATACACTTTTGAACACATTTGCATGTTTTACTTTATACTCGGTCTTTACATTTTTGTAAAGTGTAGGAAAAGCTCTCTATTTTATCAATACATTATACAAACACATCTTATAGACTTTTTAAAATATATTATACCGCCAAACCAAATTTCTTACAATTTTATTTCGTGATTTTTATGCTAATCCATCAAATAGCTGTTGGGACTTTCATTTTTATTTTTTTGTAAATATGGAGGGAAACAGATCATGCAGATCATGTGGAATAGCAATTATTTAGCAATTATTTAGGACATTTCAAAAAGACAATTAAAATTCCTTCTCAGAGTCTGCTGAAATTATTTAGGACATTTCAGCAGCATGTTTCCCTCTGTGTGCTTATTACCTGGCAAAGCTGAATTAATGCTTCCATTTGGCGTGTTTATACATATATGCAGTTCCATCATTAGCTCATCCCGGGTAATTAGGCTACTGTTAATCTCAATTGAACACACCTGCTATTATTAATCTCCTCTGCACATACAGCAGAGTGACATTGACAAGGCTTTTTGATGTGAGGCTCATGAGGAGAAAGAAGGAGTTGGGATTGGCATGTTGTATCTTCCTCTCAGACTTCACCTTCTCATAGCAATTAACGACCACAAAAACCTATGGAACAACCTGGGTCAGGATTAATAAACCTCTATCACAAGTCATTACATTGAGCCTTGGAGCGGATTATCCCTGTCCACTGAATGGATGTCTCAATTGTCTGCCTCTCTTAATTCCCAGTTGGACACTCAGTCAAGCGTGTCAGGATTCGATCACAATGGGACATATATATAACCATTTGAAAAAGTTGATAATGGAAAATGGCATGGGGCATATACCTAGGTAACAGTTATTGGAATAGACATGTAGGTCCAGGGCCTAATGTGTACAGAATCACTCAGAGGGAAATCCATGTGTTCCTGCCGGTGAGACGAGAAAGAGCTTTTGTTTTTAACTGATGAGATTTCCCGGAGGAGAAAAACCTTGCACTCCAGATATTGGAATTGATTCGCTTCTCTGCAGCGATCCAGATATTTACCTTCTAGCTAATTGCAAGAGGCAAGGCCCATTCGGTGTAGACGGAATAAGACTCACAGAGGAGCAATGCATTTTCTTCTATGGCTTTTGGACTAACGCCACACCTTCCATTTAAAAGGTTCAGCTCATTGCAAGTGCACAGCATTGTCCAAGGCGACCTGAAATGATCCAAAAGCAGTCTTCACTTGGGTAAAAGTGTCGAAAAGATAGTTGTAGGGAATGTTGGCAAACACAAGTAGTATCCTCAAGTTATTCTATAATTGAGTTTCAAGATGGATCTCTTGAAAAAATCTTTTTTTTTCTACCATTATGGATATTAGTTGCCCCGGACAAGCACAAAATATGCTGCTTCATCATCAGCCCACTTCACATGAGGATCAGGGACAAAGTCACAAGTAGATAATTCTTTAAGCTCGACCCATTCATTGAAACCCCTTGAGTCCTGAAGTGAACACATTTTCTTGATTGCATGATGTGGCTGATTATTTCAAATACACTTGTTGAAAATCCTTTTCAGTCTCCCTCAGGAAAGTTGAAACTACATTATTACAAATGTCCGATTCAACCTCACACTTGACATGGTTACCAGTGAGCCAAATGAGGGACGGCACAGGATGCATTTCCTCTGATTTAAACACAATGTATGCAATTTGTAGGTACGCACAATGTCATAATGTATGTGACTTGTCTATGTTTTACAGATCAGGAGCGGATAGGAAAGGACTCCACTTATGAGCAGGAGGGAAAGGTTCAGTTTGTAATTGATGCAGTGTATGCGATGGCTCATGCCCTGCACAACATGCACCAGGAGCTCTGCCCGGGGACGGTGGGCCTCTGCGCTAAAATGGATCCGATCAATGGCACTCATCTGCTCAAGCACATCCGCCGTCTCAACTTTGCAGGTCAGTCCCGTAACTTGTTAATACTGGAATGCATGTGTTTCACCTTTCAAAAAGAAGACCAAATGTTAACATCCACCCTAAGGCCAATTACCCAGTGTCACCTGGTAAACGCCTCAGTTCGAGAGGCTGTAAGGGCTTGAAATGGTAAAAACTGGAGTGGGACAGCACTTTGTGGTGAAATATCAAGTTACAGCGATGTTGCCAAACATTAGTGTAGTTCCCAGACCCTGCAATCCACATCCATTTGTGCCTCAGTAAGATATTTAAACCCAAATTGGTCGCAATGGCCAACGGTGTGCGAATGGGTGTGAATCTGATTCTCCCTGAGCAAGTGGAACCTTGTACAGTAAAGCAGCCTCTGCCGCTGAATGAGTAGGTGTGAATGGGTGACTGTTTATCTGTATCTGTAAAAGCACTTTGAGGGGTTGTAACAACTGGAAAAGCACTATAAAAATGAAAGAGTTCATTGTTAAATAATCAATTGTTTTGGAACAGCATTATTGAGCAAAATGAAAATAAATTGTTAATAATAAGAAGGTTATAAGGCCAGGCTTACATTCCTTTGATCACATATGTTTTATGTTCCTTAATGTTATTGTTTCATGTACATTTAATATACCTGGCTTACCTCCCTCCTCTTTCTTTACCTTTCAATGCCTTCAAATTATGATTTGTTGTATGGCTATCAGCCATAGTCCGCATAAATGGCTTTAAATGTCTGCAAGGGCCCTCCAGCCCTTTAAGGAATTGACAGTGGAACTGATCTAAACCATCGCAATCTTTCCAGGAGTAATTGTTGTTCACCTGGAAACATTGGAAGGTTGTAAATCAAATGTATTTCACGTGCTGTACATTACCTCAAGGGTCTTGGAAAAAGAATGATTGGAAATCAAAAAATTATTTCCTCCATATAGACGTCATCAAAATCTCATTCTTCACAAACCAGAACCTTAGTTTCTTTCTTCTCTTGTATGACACGTTTTCAATTTCCTCCCAGTGGCTACATGATACCAAGCTATCAGTGAAGTTCACATTATGAGTAATAATTAACTGCTTTCACACACAGAGCAGTGATCCACGGCTTCATTTTATAGACAGTGTCTGTTTAAAGCAAAGCAATTCAAGACAATTCAAATTCCTTCTCAGAGTCTTGAGTATGCAGTGTTTGTACGGATAAATTATTCATTTGAACTCCTGCTCTTCAAGCTAATTTGTCATACTTCTTGCATTGGCAAAATGTCAATCAATGTTTAATTCATCTCTGAGAAGTAAAATAAATAATGCTTTCAAAATGGGTGATTTAAAGGCATTCACGTCTCAGAAGATCAGGTTCTAATGAAAGAGAGGATACCACTGTAAAACACACCACTAAAGTCTCCCTGCACCACTGCTGCCAAAGGAAATCACAAGCCATTAGTCCAATGTGTTGTTCTCTACCGGACACATGACTCATCTCACTTCCTGATCCTGTATGCACGGCTGTTTATCCTTTGTGTTTCTTTTTGGCGAACCAACTTGCATTTGAATCCCTAAGCACACTTTTAAATGAATGGAAAATGTAAGAGATGAATCATTGAAGATGCCTCTATATCAACACATGTTTATACTTTGTTATAGGGGTTTTTCCTTTTCCTGCAGTGTGTTATATACAGTAGGTTTTGGTGCATGTAAATGGTCTGTAAAGGCTAAAATCCTAAAGTTCCCTCCAGAGGGAGTGTCTCTCCCACACACCATTTACATGCACCAAAGCCTATACAACACACCTGCCTGAAACGCTTCCATTGGACTCCTTCACTTACTTTTATGATATAATGAAATCACTATGTACATTTGCGCTTCTATTGGCTAGCGCTCCAACAAATTGTACATGATAAGCTAAGGAGCGGCACATGTCCGACACATCTCTAAGATCTTGACCAATCACAACAGAGCTGGCCAGCAAACCAAACCAATCAGAGCAGACTGGGCTCTGGTTTCAGACAGAGGGTGAAAAGAGGTGCTGCAGCACAGGCAGTATGAGAAAAATAAAGAGCTTTTTACAGTAGAGAGACAAAATACAAATATGAGTTTTTCAGGCAAAATGTATGGGGAAAGCAAACCTACATAAAGGCCCACAAAAATACCCTCAAAAAAGTATCCTGGTTGTTGTACCCAGATTTAAAAACAGTTCCTAGTAAGCTGTCTTTCAGCTTCTGTGTCGACTGATGTCAGTGGGATATCGCTTCTGATTTGTTAGCTTCCAATTCAACTAAAGAACAATCCCCTCCTTAAAGGTGGGGTAGGTAAGTTTGAGAAACCGGCTCGAGATACACTTTTTGTTATATTCCATGGAATGCTCTTAACATCCCGATAGCAATGAATATCTTAAGTGCTTTGACAAAAAATCCATAATAAAATGTCATCTGTGGAAGCCGTAGTACTGTAAAAAGCACGACCAATCATTTTAGCCGGCCCGGCTAAAATAACTGGATGGCCTACCTGCCTGTCAGCCTTCCATCTGTGCACAAACTTATCTCGTGCCCTCATTGGTCATGTGCGCGTTCGTGTGTGTTGGAGGAGGGGCTCTGTAAGGAAGTGGCAGATTTTCTCCGGTTGTGTATTTTCAAATTCTAGCGATCTCGAGCCGGTTTCTCAAACTTACCTACCCTACCTTTAATGGAAATTGTATTACATGGACACCATGTCAGACTGAACAAAGGAAATAAAACTAAAAGTCAAGTCAGTGTCGGATTTGGCTAGTGATATAATTATTAAAGGTAGTTTTTCAACATCACGTATACACAAAAATAAAAGAAGACAGGGGTGCCCACACTTTTTAAGCTTGGGAGCTACTTTTAAAATGACCAAGCCCAAATGATCTACCTACAGGCCCCTGCCCAATCTGTATTGTGAGCTGGGGGGGGGGGGGGTGATAGTTGGACTAAACGGCGGATAAACTGTGGCGCGCTGACACTAATTGCGCCGCATAAGCGTATGATAGTGCGCCACATTTGCGCTTCAGATGAGGTGGTGAGGCCCCCTCATAACTGCATGAACCCGTATGGCACAATACAACTCAGACTGGCTTACCTGTATGTCAATCAAGTGGCAAATGCCATAGTAAGGATGGATGATAGGCTAACTTAAAAAAATAAAAAAAATAAAATGTTTTTATTTATTTATTTATTTTCTTCTTTTTTTTTCAATGCCATGCGATCTACCCACACTACCCTTGCGATCGACCGGTCGATCTTGATCGACGTATTGGGCACCCCTGGTCTAAGAGCTTTATAAAGATATACAGCCTTATATATAGTCTCTTTATTTCAAACCATTTGTTATTCACAAGCTACTTTCAGGGTCACTTTCATTGTATGTTTTTATTTTAGCAACCAATCTGCTGAATTTGGTACTATAGTGAGAGAGTATGTATAGAGTTTTTATTTATTTAGAATTGACATAGTGTGTAAATACAGTACAGTATATGGTTATAGTACAAATGTCCTCGTGTTCAAACAGTATCCCTCCAACAAAATACCCAACACTTGTTCAGTTCATGATCAATGTAAAGCCATCAAGTTAATCAGGTAGAACAAGTAAACAATCCCCCTCCACAACAACAAGCTTTAATACAGCCCTCACCTCCAACTTCACCAACTGAGCAGCTCAAAATCCGATAGCATGTGGGAGGAAAACAGCTGATGGGCCGCTGTTCCCAACAGGCAGCATGTTGGGCTTAATGATTCTCTCTGTTGTAAAACAGCTTCTCTCTTTCCCAGACAAAACATCTTCTCTATCTCTGTCTGGGTAACCGAGGTGAATGTCATTTTCAACAAAGGCTTGTGCTGGTTTACCAGTTGCGCACACCGTTAGCAATGTTAATTCTAGCTTGATATCATTTTGTTTCACACAAATGAGCCTGGCACAAGTTAAGAGTTAGAGTAGTTTAAAAATGCAACAACTCTCTGGAAAACATGGCAGCTTTTATTTTGTATTTCTTTTTTTCATCTTATTTTTTATTTTACGAACTATTTGCCGCAGAAAAAAGGATGACATTGATAGATAGAATATGTCAATGATGGATACAATTTTCCTAATAGAGAGTACGAGAGCACCAGGTTAATATAAAGTGACATCGGCCTATCTTTTCAGGCGTGCAAATTGGAATAGCACAACAGAAACATAGATAATAATAATAATAATAACAATAATAATAATAAATGGAATTTATAAAGCGCCTTTCACGGGACCCAAGGTCGCTGTACATGGTGGACAGACAAAACAAAACAGACAATGAGGAGCGAACAAAAACAAGAACAAAATAAAATAAAATAAAGGAAGCCAGGGGACCAGGAAAGGACTAGGGGAACAGGTGGGTTTTTAGTGAGGATTTGAAGATGTCCAGTGAGGCAGCGTTCCGGATCTCAGGAGGAAGTGCATTCCAGAGGGTGGGGGCCGCAACACTGAACGCCCTGTCACCCACAGTGCGAAGGCGAGAGTGGGGGATGGAGAGCAGGCCCGTGTCGGAGGACCGCAGACTCCGAGAAGGGGTGTAGGGATGTAGGAGGTCTGTTAAGTACTGGGGGGTGAGGGTATGGAGGGACTTGTACGTGAGGAGGAGTGTTTTATAGTGAATCCGGGACTTGACCGGCAGCCAGTGGAGGTGGATGAGGGTGGGGGTGATATGTTTTTTATTTGATTCTTTGCACAATGACGATTGAGTGGTGCTCTTTTCAGAAAGTGGCTTTGACAAGATTTTTAGCCGCTAAGTTTAGACATACATTTCCAGTGCAGTAGATCCTTTTGAACTGAATGTTGTTCTGAGCAGGCAAAATGTATTAATGTTTCAACACCATCTGACCAGAGGGGTTGCCTTAAGGTTACACTACACACTCTATCTAATTGCATCAGCACACAGCAGTATATTGAACTTGTCCAGATACATAAAACAACCTCACTGCGGAGACCCGGCTTGCCAGATTGTATTTTATATTATCAAAGGTTTTCATGTTTATCTCTGT